AACACATCTCCTGCTTCCAGATAACATTGATAGCGCTTGGCGTTCACAAAAAGTGGGTATTTCTCAAAGTCTGGGTTATCAACATCTAGCACCTCTGATTTGGTACCTAGAGAAATTTTCAGAAGTAATGAAAAAACAGAAACAAAGCATTAATACACTGCTTGAGATGGCAGTTCTTGAGTCCAGTTTAGTATTGTTTATTGTTCTGTAACTCGTCTAAAAGCCAGGCAAATCTGTTGGCACTTCTCATTTACTGAAGATGAATATTCTCTTGTTGTCTGTATTTCTCCTGCAACTGCAACCTTATTAACACTAAACGACACTTCCACTGACATATATAACATCATTTCAAAACTGAACAGAGCACAGTACTCCACAGTTAAGTGTTGAAGACAGAACCAAGCAAAGCTGCAGGGCTCATTTGTAGATTTCCTAATTTGCATCACTAAAATTCTTGGCCTTGATCAAAGCAAACTGCATCGGAGGGACCAAATCACTTCTCACAATTAAAGTTATCAGTTACAGATTGTTTTCCTACAGTGCAACACTTATGAACTGGAAGGGCAACTATGATCAGCAAACTCTGAATGAGATGTGCGTGGCATGCATACCTGATAAATATAAATATGGTACATCTCGAGGACTGTACAGAACAACTCGTTTTCTACCTGTTACTTGGATTAAGAAGTTATCCATTACCTGAAATAAGCACAGTAAGAGATGTCAGCCAAAAGGTAAGAATGAAGAGCATTAAATCCCTCATATATTAAGAACTAGCTAAAAGTTTCCACATAGTTAATCTAAAAAACTTAAGAATGTGAGCAACCTCATCCCTTAGCTGCAGTCTTTAAAAATAGTGCATTTGAAATAAAACAACATTGCTTTCCAGCAACTTTACTTTTTTCCCTTGTACAGGAATCAAGTTCTTCCATCTTAAAACACAAGGCACACCACTCTTTAGATAAATAAAACAGCAAAATATAATGTGAAATACATTTTGAGTTCTTTTTCAGTATTACCTCTACCGCATTTTGCTGAGTTTCTGCTGCTAAGGATTTTTTAAAATCTCATTTACAATGCAAAAAAACCTATTTTTCTTACAAATACATGTATTTGGAATTGCACTGTATGATGTCAGAGGACCATGTTATTTGAAATCTACCACACTGCAGCAACAGACTGCCCAAATCATTGTACAGTTACCTATGAGAAGTGTGTCATTAACAGAACCTCATCAACAGAGATTTGTAACTTAATATCCCAACCCCACAATGCTATCTGCAACATCTGATGTAATGATATTATTACCTACATCATAATGGGTCCATAGCTGTAATCCTGCTGAGCTGATGCGGAAGACGCTAGAGAAAAACTGTTCCTTCTCAAAATACTCTGGAATCTGAACATCATCTGCCAAAACAGGAAACTGTTTTCTGATATCTGCAATATCCTGAATAAAAAAAGACAAAAACTCTCAGAGAACCATTTATGCGTGCTAAAATAAGGTGGCACCTTAGCATCATTTTGTGTCACAAGGAACACAGGGTCAGAACTTTATTCAGCTTTCATAAATAACTTCAGAAAACAATGCTTTTCAGTTGTCATTCTTTCAGCTCAGACTTGGTCACCAGTGGTAATAAAAACAGACAGAGCTGCTGTGAACCATGACTGCTAGAAATCACACTGAAAAAGTAATCATCAGAAATCCTTTTATATTAGGTTACAGCAATGGCCAGAGAATAGAATATAAAGGATATACTCTTCAATGATCAGCCAAGTTTTCGTAACAGCAACTATTTTGGACACCTAGGTTTAAATATTCTGACGTAAATCCACTCAGATCCCTAGACCAAATGACTGTAAACAAATTTTATACCTATACCACACAGCCAGTGACAACAAAAACTGCTTTCTCATCAGAACTGCAGTCTCAAGTAACTCACCTTCCTAACATCTTCACCCACTGATCGCAAATAGTACTTCTCATCCTGTAGATAATACACAAAGATAATTGTTCTGGTTTTAATATGAGTTAGAAATACACTTAAGAGCCCACATTTTTTTCATTAATCTAATGTAGGCCTGTAATAAAATATACAAACAGATTCACAAATTCAGCTACTTTGTTATACTTTACTGCTCCCTGCTGTTCATCTCAACAAATGGGAAATGTAAATTAAGTGAGGAGTGAAGTGGGAGACTTGTCAGCTGCTTCAGCATTGCTTCTTCTGAATTCAAAGGAAATGCAGATTACAACTTACATTCTTCAGAACATTGATGTTGGAAGCTATTTCAATTGGCTTCAAATCATATGGCATCCTATGTAGCATAAACAGTGAAAAGCAAATTTGCATATAGAACTGTTTGCTTGCTAATTATAATTATCTGAAAAATCCAATTTGAACATTGTTGCGTAAAGACTGCCATAAGTTCGCTACTCAAAAAATTTCTTACAATAAATCTGTATTTGTATTTTGATAGCAGGTATAATCAAACTCACATATCTTCATGATGTTTTCTTATTAAACACCTGAAGTACACAAGTATTCTAAAGCAAGACTACATCTCTCAATTTCTTGATGGAGCTTTTGCTGATGTCAGTTAGGTATTGATAGCAGAAAAAGGACCACTGAAATTAACCATACTGTATGCACACCAAATAATTTCCACAGAAAGAATTCTTTTCCCTCACATTTTTCCCTGGCTCCCAGCCACTCAAAATAGTTAACTCTAAAATCCAGTGCTTTAGGACTAAGACTTCAAACTATATTTATTTTTTCCTCTCCAAGTACAAATCAGAAAAGAAGCTGTGACACCAAGGTAGTTACCTCAGAAAGAAAGTAGTCTTTGTGTTTGACTTCAGCTGCCCTTCGTACAAATACATCAAAAGGCAGAGTTCTGAAATATAAACATGGAAATTCATACAGTCAACATAACAACACATGATCTAAGTGCAAAGTTTAAAATCATAAGCTTTCTCACCTTATATAGTGTAACTGAAAGTGCAACATGCTTTTTTTTTTTTAAAATTAATTTATGTTATTTAACATAGTGACTAACCAGTATTTGCAGCGAATGTTTGAAGAGTTCTGCTCAGACAAAAATCCTGCACTTAGAAACTTCTCTGCTTTAGTAAACTGTCCCCAGTACAGACCCAAGCAAGCAAATCCATCAGCCACTGAAGTCAACAAGAAATATATGAGTTCTGACTTTGGTTGAACATTTGTATCCTGCCCACTTACAAATTCACTGCAGAAAAATGAGAGCACAGTTCTGGAACAGATTAAAGTGAAGCATACTGGTGCTGCCCTTGATGACCACTGTCTTCCCATCCCCTACACTACACTAGCACCAGCACTCCTCTGAGCTATGATGAACCTGCTCACAAAGCCAAAACAGCAGAAGAACATTCAGATTTCTGCACTTCCAGATCCAATACAAAGACAAGGCAGCAGCACGAAGCTGACAATGGAACTGCAGTAACATTCGCAGCATCAGTTTTAAATTGTGAAACTTCACATTAAGACTTTAGTGTTTCTGTTTTTTTAGTTCTACTTATTTCATTTTAATTCTACTTATTTACTTCTACACATTTCAGGTTTTCACAATTGCTTCTGAAAGTGACAAACATCTGCCTCTACATACAAGAGATTTGGGATGGAAGTACCTATACACAAAGTTCTTACTGAGGAAATCCATCTGTGGTACTGCAGAAACATGGATCTTTACTTCCTTAGATCCTGCGGCTTGGCTCAGGTAATCTACCGTCCATTTGGTTGTGCAAGGGCCCAGCTCCATTCCTTTCAGCACAACTGGCTCTCTCTAAGGATGGAGAGAAAGAGAAACAATAGCAGAGAATGATGTTTGCATCCAGCAGTGCTGGTGGGGAACAGAATTATTTTTTCAATTTGCCATCTGAAATCTGGAAAGAAAACAGTCTTACTCCAACCTGGTGTAAACTAAGTTCACGTGAACAGCTGTGAGTATCAGGACCTGCAACAATGTCACAAATGAACAATATGAATGCTGAACATGCTGAACGCTCAGCCAAATGTGGGAGATCACAACTGCTTCTGTAGTTCCTGTTTTCTCTTCCCAGCTGGATAAGGAAGGTTATGGAGAGGCAACAACAGCATTAACAGCCGGTGTGTTCTGGGACCACTGAGGAATCTAGCTGGGCTGAAGAACAGCCGCACTCATTCCCGTGCACTGGAGGTACGGACTGCGAGCTGTAATAACTGTAATATGTTCTCGTGAAAGCAACTCTTCCCTCCCACGCTGAGGCTCCTCGGTGCTGATACCTACAAAGAGGTTTGGTCCATTGTACACAAAGCCCAATAGAGAGGGTCTTTTTCATTCAGTCAGAACCTCAGAGGGAAAAAAAGAAAGAAAAAAAGGAGTCGTGGTGACAAAACGACAGAAAGCAATCGCACAGTTTATAACCAGAGATAAACATAATTCAGCCACCAGCGGCGTGTCAGAGCTCTGCGGCAACGCGGGACTGAGCCCTAACTCAGGCATCCGTCTGCAGGAGGGCTGCATGACGCTGCTGGCTGAGGAGGCTCCGCCGGAACCCCCGCCGCAGCCCCGGCACCCCCCTCCCGCCGTGCCCGTGCTCGTACCCGGGGATAGACGTCCCGCAGGAAGCGCTCCCGCGTCACGCCGTCCAGGCTCGGCACCCGCACCACGCGCTGCTCGTGCCGCTCCATGGCCGCCGCCGCCCCGCAGCCCTGCCACGGCGTTGTCCGCCGCTCCGCCGGGAAACGAGAACCGAGCGGAAGCGTTCCCCGCCTCCTGCCGCCGGGCGAGGGCCGGGAGATGGAGCCCTCTTTTCCGCTCCGGGAAGTCGGCTCTGCGGGGAAGCGACGGATGGCCCGGCGAGCCGGTACGACCCGGAACCGCGGTCCTCCGCGGCACGGCGGAACCGGAGGCGCAGGCTGCGTTTCCGGCGGAGCGGCGCTCGAGAGGACGTGCCGGGGCCGGTGCGCACCGCCGCCATGATGGCGCTGCGCGCTGCTCCCCGGCATGCCCGGTGGCTGGCGCGCGCGCTCCTGGCGCCGGGGGCGGCCCGCGCAGCCCCGCTCGCAGCGCGCGTCTCGGCTCTGCCGCTGCCGGGCCCCCTCCCCGCGCTCCCCGCCGCGCGTTTCGCCAGCAGCGGGCCGCAGGGGACCGAAGGAGGGGGGCCGCAGCGGCGGGTGGTGGTGGTGCGCATCACCAACCCCCTGGCGTGGCTCCGCACCCGCTTCTATTACCTGCTCATCCGCCTCTACTTCGACTCGGAGTTCAGCATCGAAGAGTTCACGCGCGGCGCCAAGCAGGTGAGACCCGGCGCGCCGGCTGGTGGCTCTGGGGTTAATTAAGCAGCCGCGGAGAGCGGGGGGTGTTAAAGTGTCTGGGAACCCGAGAGGAAGCCGGGCAGAAGCGCGCCACGCTGTTTGCAGTACTGTTTTACTTTGCCCTTCTTTTCTCGGTAATTTTTACGCGCGGTAGAGCCCAAAGCACGCTGTCAGTATTTCGCACGTGCACCGTTTGGACACACTGCAGTGCTGCTGCGTGTGACGCTGCCTACAGAACTCAGGGAGATGGGGGGCTATGCGCCTCCAAGGTTTAGGGGCTACAGTAGATTCAAAACCAAATTTGTTTAGTTCTGAGCATCTGTTTTGAGTGGGACTGGGAGGTGGCTTTGGATGGGACTGGGCACGGGGGCAGTCAGGGAAGAGAACATTGGCTGGAAAGGCATGGATCGTTTGAATTACTCAAAAAAAGAGTAAAAACAGCTATAGGCCATTGTGATGTTTTCACAAAAAGGCACTTGTTTGCCTGTTACCAAAACTGTTGTGCTTTAAATGAGAATGGGAAGAACTCTTAGGCTTTTATCAGTTAATAGAATCACTTTTTTAATGCTGGAAGAGTTTCCAATGGTGATATACCCTGTAAACGTTGAAGTCTTAAATCATACAATGTTTAGGTTGCTTGTCCTTTAACAATGTATTTGCCCAAAGAGTAAGCAAACCCCAAATTATTTATTTATGTGTTTCTCTTCTATTTCTTCAGGCCTTTTCCGTTGTTTCACAGCTGCTGTCTCAGCGTAAACTTGACCTGCTGGACGGCCTGGTTTCAGCAGAGGTAAATACTTCCATCTCTATTTCTGCCAGTTGATGTTTTCTATTATGAAATAAAATTATGATAGAAAAGAATGTTCTTGCCATTAAGCATAGGGACCAGTTGCCAAAAGGATTTCTGATGTACCTGTCATTTATGAATTCCAAATTGCTGAAGTTGTCTTGGCCTTTCGCAGGGACAGAGGTAGCATATGCATCAGTCAAGAGGAGGAGATGCTTCCAGGCTGTATCAGCCCTGTTCCTGGATTTCAGCTTGGTTTGTGCTGTTGCCACCAATGCCTTTGCTACAGAATTTTTGGCACAGTTATAGTTATATATATTTATATATATAGTTATCCCTGCTGGGTATTCTTATCTCCTCTCTAAGCAGAGTTAGCAATAGATTATGATTTTTTTCCTACAGATGTTTTGAGAAAGCATCTCCTTTTCCTCTGCTCATCTTAAATTCTTCAGGTGATTGGGATAGCTCATGATCAGTGTGCAGGAGCCAAGACTGATACCACACTACTGTCTTGCTCTGGCTGGTGAAATTCATACTTGCCATGCCCTAGAAGCTAATGTCTTCTGGTAAAGATGCACGTACTTCCATGCAACCTCTGAATTTGTTTTTCAAAAATGGCAGTTCAAGTTAGGATTAAAAATTGAATATGAGTTAAAGATGTGCTGCGTGACTTAGTCTTTCCTTGTGGTGCCTCCTTTTGTGGTGCTTGAGGTGATGTTTCTGTTCTGCCGGTGCACAACATCCTTTTTATGTAACACAGTTGTGTACATCTTAGGATGCTCAAAAGCTACGACTGTGAGTGTGATCTGTAAGTTAAGTCCTAAAGTAATGGTTTTCCGCTCTTTACTGATTGGCAAATGTCTAAACATTTTCCAGTGGGAATGTGGATCCTGAAATGGCAAAGTTAAACTTAGTGGTAATGGAACTGATTTACAAAGAAATTGGTGAGAACTGAGAAATGATTGAATCAAAACGTAAAGAATATGCATATAGCGAAGTCAGCAGTGCAAAGGCAGAGTGTAAGTATCATTGTGGAAGCAAACTTAACTGGTATTTTCTGGATTTACATGCATTGCTATGCAACTTCTGCTTTGACAGTATATTTTCTAAACATTTTCATCAAATTGAATATTAAATGGATCTTGTTTACTATGGTTAACTAGGGCTTGGGAGTGCCCAGTGCTTTGCTCACTCTTGCTGTATGTTTTACAATGTTAAACAAATGTTATTCCAATATAGCTCATTTTATTAACTGTTATAGATAAGGTTGCTACTTCAGCTTCCTAACTAAGCACAAGTTTTTCTGAACTTAGGTACTTCAGATGTTGAAGGAAAAGATTTCTTCACTCTCTGAGAACCATAGGGATGCTTTAGCAGCTGACATGGATGCAATCATGTACACAACAGAAGGAGATGTTCGCATTTACTATGATGATGATGGTATGCTAGAATTCTAAAAGATTTCCTCAATGGGTGGTCTTTTTCCTGGCTTTGCTCTATGTATGAGTGGGTTTTTAAATTTTTTTTCATTCCTTGTTCTTTTGCTTGTACTTTATCTGTACATAGTTTCCTAATTTCCTTTTAAACCACAACTCGATACTGTTTGTAAATTACGGTACTGTTTTGACTTCTTTGTAGGCTTTGTTCATTCCTCTTTCATGATTTTGACTTTCTGTTGTTAGTCCTTAATCTCAAACCATTCAAGCAGTGACTGTTCTATATGCAGAAGGCTGATTGCTTTAGCAATGAAAATACATACATTCCAGGAATAATAATTAAAGCTGGATAATGAAAGACCTAAAGACATTTTACTGTCTTCACTACTATTCTGCTTTCCTGGGATATGGTTACGGAACACTGGTTATTTTTTTAAGCTGGTGTTAACCTCAAGCAAGTTTTCTTTTGTTTAAATACTAATATTGCATGCTGTCTTCTGTCAAACACAGTTGAGATGAGTCTTGGAATCAGAATTTCAGATTTTCAAACCAAGTGAGCTTTTTTTCCTGCTTTTGAAGGTAGAGATTTTTTTTTCCCTGTTCACTTCTGAGATTTAATTTCTCTACCTTCTTTTGTAGCATGAATAGTTGGCTTTTGACCTTGTGATAACCAACTTTTTATACAGTTAGATTGTATACGTTCTTATGAGGCATGAAGTAAAGCTCATAAATTACATACCTTTCTCCTGATCGTATTTTTATTACTGCTTAACAACACGAATACTGCTTTAAACAGCTTTATTGTTAATTATTCTGTTATACTGTTTCTGGCTGAAGTCAACTACCTTTCCTTCGTCTCAGTAGAAACTGAGCTAAATAGCGGATTAGGAGCATTTGATGACTGAGAAACATGAAGCCTTCATTATGCTTTATTTCCAACAGGAAGAAAGTTTGTTAGTATCCTGATGCGTTTTTGGTATCTGAATGGTGCTAACCTACCTGATGAAGTACCAGGTGAAACCAAAGTCTTTCAGATTGTGTTTGGAGACGAAAGCACAAAGGAAAAAAGACATATTTTAACAGCAAACTATGAGTAAGTTTCCTCGCCCCTTGTATGTCCATGGGCTAGCGGTGTGGAAGCTAGTTTGGAACATAAAACGTGTGTTGTGTCAGTGCAGAACATATATAAAGTATTTAAAGTATGTAAAGAATTAATATATATCTTCCTCTTTGGTGCATAAGCATCGTTCTATGAACTTTCATAGGAATAATACAGAAGTAAAGTATTTCTTTCCTGAATTTCTTCCTTGTTGATATTAGTATCTCTTTAAGTAAATTTTAATGACACTTTGTTGTCTTTTCCAGGTTCCAAAGGGAATTTACAGAAGGAGCAAAACCAGACTGGACAATTACACGAATTGAACATCCAAAGCTATTAGAATAAATGCCTTCTGCAGAATCTTTACATTGTAAATGTTCTGTTGTTACAAATATCAGACATTTTAGCCTATTTTTTTTTCTTCTTTTCCAAAAGGAGGGAAGAACTTTGTATGTTTGATTTACCCAAAATTGTTTCTGAAGTTTATGCTATGCTGAAACTTTGCAATAAAGCCTTTTCCATGGAACAGGCTGGTACAGATTTAATTGGTACTACTGCTCATCCAAGGCATTTAGATGGAACATTTTCACAAAGGCCAGTGTAACGGGGATGCTGACTTCTTCTATTTGAGAAGAAAGAAATGGTACTACAACACTTTCATGGCTGCTGACCCTTCTAAATTACCTTCATATGTTTTTTCCCCAGGGACTGTGCACTATGTAACTGAATAATGTGCAAGATGAAATAGCAGTAGATGGACTTCTTAGATTGTCTAGCTTCTACAGTTCAGTTTGAGGTAATGTCATTATTGAATGTATTTGAGATTAGGAAACTTAGAGCCATTATTAGTGTTTGGTGTGAGATTGGAATAAAAAAAATCTCTTTAACATCACACTAGGAAAATGGATCATAGATTTTTTGATAGTAAAAATGATGTTCCTTTCAATTCAGTAACTCACAAATAATTTCAAGATCAGAAGTTTGTGTTAGAATAATCGGTCTAAAACTTGAATTTAAGAGGACCTGATAATGTAGCTAAATGAATTCTTGGAACTCCTTGTAGAAGAAATGAGCAAATCATTATATAAAGACATAGAAAATCTAAAATCCCTTTTGAATTTCTCATACAGTTGTTGGATGGTAGTGGGCATAAGCACAGCACAGGTGGTCAGGGTGCAGGGGGGAGCTGTGTTTCAGTACTGGCCACTTCTGAAGCAGTTCAAGCCACTTCATATGCTGCCAATATCTCTTTTTCAGTTAGACTGTATTGTGTTTCAGCTCCAAAACCTTATGGGTTGACCTTGAGTTTCCCCTCTGGTGCTTTCTGCCAGCAGCTCCAGATGGGGCCATTTTCCATGGCTTTGGTGTAGAGCACATTTTTTACATCTCATCTTGTCCAGGCTGGCTCTAGGGCTACTGCATGAACTATCTCCTGTTTAATTTGTACAAAGGCTTGTTGTTGCTCAGGGCCTTATGTAAAATTGTTTTTCTGGGTCACTTGGTAGAAGGGGGTTACGGTCAGACTGTAATCCAGTGCATGCACTGTCCAGAAATCCACAACGCATAAATAGCTTGTGTTTCCTTTTTGCTGGTTGGTGGGGTCTAGGAGTTATTTTGTTGATCACATCCACAAGGATCTGATGAACTCGACTTCCTGACCCTACTTTGCATTACGGCAAAACTGGTTTTCAGAATTGGGATATATTATTTATTATATATATTACATGTTACGTAATGTGATACTCTTTTCTTAAGACTTTCTCCATGTTTTGGCATAACAAAGAATAATGACTTCTCGGTTGGTTTTCTGTGATCGTGAGATGAAATTGAGTACATTTGAAGGGACTGAGGATTTGATGAGTGTATTTTTCTCATAGATCACAACTAAGGTCAAGCAAGATAAGTATTTCTTACAGAATTAATCAAATGATATGAGTTTGTAATGCAAATCATAGTCTGTAGCCTCTGTTCCATTGCTCTCGTTCCTGAAGTAAACATTTCTTTTTCATAAAAGAATGAATTAGTCAGTGTTAGAACTATGATGATAAGACTTATTTGCTGCCTTAGTACTGTGCTGAAAAGTACAGGCACTTCTCTGGACTTTTAGTGCTTATTATTGCCTGAGTTATGATGAGTTGCATGAGTTATATATTAAGAATGCTGATTCTGCATGGAACAGGTATCAGTGAATATTATGACTATACCAAGCTTTTGCATTTCTTTCTAATCGGAATTGAGATAGAGATCTGTGGTAATGTGACAGGGAGAATGCCAGTGGTCTTTGAGCTCTTTAATTTTTTTAGTTGTCAGTGGGGAATTTTCCACTCTTTTAACTATAGCTGGTTTTGAAATATGCTTTTACATTATCTCTAGTCATTTGGAATATATTGGTATCCAATACTGCAGTTGTCTTAAACTTCTAAATTTTTTCTTCGTCTGAAAATCTCTGATAAGAGCATGTTCATTGCAAGGCTTAAACCAGTATTATTCATTGGGTGGTGTGGAAATACTTCTCTTTTATGTTGTTCAAGGTGGAAATAAACAAATAAATAAACCTCCTGGTTTTGCATTGCCAGCCTAAATGTAGCTACTCCAACCACTCTAAGGTACAAAATGGAATTGTGTATTCAAGCTAACTCCTAGTGAATACGTTGGTAGATACTATAAAGACTGTCCCAAGTTCTCATGGCTAAAGGGATATGGGGTTGTTCTACGTAGTTCTGATCCAAGACTTACAGTCAAAGTTGGGGAAGAATATCGTCCTTTACTTCAGCGATTTCCAGTGATGCCATTTGAACAACTTACCCAAAACTGATACAAATAATTTGTGTTACAAAACTTTAAAAAGAATGAAAGATGCTTTGCTAGAGATATTTTCCTGATTTAGAAATAAGCAATAGACATTCTAAAGAAGTACACGTACCATGCTGTGTGTGGTTTTGCTATGCTTCCTGCCAAAAATAAGGGGAAAATAAAGTAAATCCAGGGTTAGTTCTTGACTTAAAAAGAATAAATGTATATTGAAGAATGAATGTACTGCCCCAGAAATGCTGAAAGGGATCACTAGAATACTGTGGGCTTCTGTGTCACAGCATGCATTCTTGCTCCTAAATTATCTTGCTAATCTTGTCTTAGACTTCACTTTAGAAGTATGTTTGAATTTGAGTGTGCTTTATTTGCCTTCCATCTCCTTTTCTGACTTCCACTTTTGCTGCTGTAAGTCATGGGCAATTGTAGTTGTGCTTTACAGTCTATGCATCCTATACATACAAATCTAGAATATTTGCAGACTTTTTCACGCGGGCTGTAGTAATTCTTGAAAACAGTGTTACTAGGTTTGTTAGTGAGTTTTAGAGTAAAATCCATACCTGTTAGCCAGGCTGAAGTTACTGATTCATTTTACACAGAGCATTGAGGTTACAAGTTGTCTGGACTAGGACTGAACTGTGAGATGTAAAATACCACATTCTTCTCGCTGAGTAAAATGGTGCTTCTTTAGGTTCATACAGGGTTTGGGAAGACTATACTTTCATCAGAAACTGTGGACATGTTTCCTGTTACTGTCACTGCTCAACTGTAAACAGCTGCTTGGTACATTTTCAATTCAAATCCAGCTAGGTTTTGACGAGTGTCAATTAACTCTGGCCAACAAAGCCCCATTAATTTGCACATCTCACTCACCAGTAGATGGCCTTGGTTACACGGCTGGGAAGTGGCTAATGTTAATGAAAGTAAGCGGGATAAAGGATAAAATGGTAGAGGTGCTTATTCCCATTTGAGTGCTGTTTAAGTCATTTAGATTTAAGAACATTAGTCTTGATGTTCTTATGGGCTTTCATCCTGAGTCAGCCATAGCGTCATCTCTCTGTGCAGTGCCAACCTATTTGGAAGTGGCAATTTCATAGCACGAAAGATGAGTTGTAGATGTGAATTCATTCAGGCGCCTCAGTGTCTGACGCAGCAAACCTTAGTTTTGTATTCATGTTTTAAAGTATGTTTATCATGTTGATTTTGATTCTTTTCCTAGTGTTGTCCTGATTAATTTGGAGTCTACATTCAGCTTTTTTCAGTCTACAAGGCATGTTCAAGTGTAACCTTATCTTTACTGGAAAATACTTGGTTATTTTCAAGTCTTATCAGCACAAAATTGCTCAGTAGTAAAAATCAATTGTTTGCCCTTCAAAAGTGAGTGAGTTCAGTATTTCCCTTCAGTTGTGTTGTGGTTAAACTTGTTTTCTGTCTGATGTGCTCCAGCAACATTGGCTGCAGGTTGGGGGCCATTTAGATTCTTTGCAGGCTGTGTGCACATCATGTCTCTGGCTTGCACGGGTTGGGATACAAGCACGTGCTAGAGGAATGTTTCTGTTTTTATTCCTCTTTCACGTGTGGATCTGAAGCCTTGGCTTATAAGCGCTGCACCAAGCACAGGAAGAGGTATTTAGCTGTTAGCAAACTGAGCATTGCCTGTATAGCTGTGCATTCATTCTTCTAAGGGAAAAGCAGCTGGCCTAAATGGAGTTGCACGGTGAGTACTGTCCACAATATGTTGTAGGGATATACTTCCTTATCTTTCACCTTTTCCACTGTTGATGTGCTATTCTTTCATTTTTCTCACAATCCTGCTGTATAGGGGTGTTGAATAAGTCACTGTACAGCTGTAGCACTGTTGAAAACACTCCTCAACTATGTCTCTCAAACATAGTTAAATGATGTATGCTTTTTCGTAGTAAGCTATTGAAGTTGGTGGGAAGATTGTTGTGAGCTTTAATGGGAGGAATGGCAGCTTTTTTGCTGCCTTTGGAGTGACTCCCTCAGAAATGCAGGAGAGTTCAAATTAGTTGTGTTGTAGTTTCCCTTGTGTGCCATTTTCTCCCTCTTCTGTCACAGAACAGGACTCTTCATAACGAGTTTTGTTTCACAGTGTTCAGGAACTGAGTGATGTGAGCAGGACAAGCGAAGTACACATGTAAGCAAGGTCGGGTCAAAGGGCTGTCAGGCTGTCAGGTCAAGTTTGTCCACATGGACAAATCTAATGTTTTGGTGTTGGAAATCTTCTATCTCTGATCTGCTAACCATTGCACCTGGCAGAGGAGATGGTGTCTCAGCAAGGACATAGCCCTTTGCCTCAAGGATGAGATTTAGTGTGTGTAAGAGGCAAGTGTGGACTTAACGTTTGTCTAGATTATATGTTGCATTTGACAGTAACCTTTTATATAATAAGCTATTCTTGTACTCTGATTTGTGCATGAGGGAACTGTTTGGATTTCCAAAATAGGAACTGAAGTCCAAATGTAAGGTTGCAGAGATTTCACAGTATGTTTGCAAAACTGCCCAGGTAAAGTTACAGTAAATCAGAGCAGCTGGGCTGTCTCTGCCTTATGATAATTAGAAACTAGCAGAATCTTAGAAATCAAGAATGAAAAAGGTTGGGAGGAGGAGAAGGAATACCTTGATAATCCCTCTTTTAATTTTCTGAAACCACTTGGCATGTGCAGTGTCCATAACTTAAGTACCAGCTGTTCAATC